GTCGCCGTATCTCGGAAAACCCCAAATTCGTCATACTTGTGCAAACCCAACAGCTCGTCGAAACCCCAAAACACCGCAAGCTCGTCGAAACCCCGAGCTCGTCGAAGTCACGAGCTCGTCATTCCTGCGAAAATCTACAAGCAAGTCAAAACTGTGAGCTCGTCCCTTCTCAAAATATCACAAGCTCGTCGTCATTGCGAGCTCGCCACATTCACAAAAATCCGCCAGTTTATAAACATTCAGAGCTCGTCTTGTTTTTCAGAAGCCTCAAGCTCGGCAAAAAATCCAATCCCTGAAAATCTGCGAGTTCATCACGTTTTCTAGAAACCTCATGCTCGACATAAAATCCAATCCGCGAAAATCCGCGACCTCGTCTCGTTTTCCAGAAACAACCTTCGTTAGTTTGTTAGTTTTATCACAGTTTTTATTTATTTTAAATGAAACAACTTTTGTCAGTTTAATTAACTTATGTTTATGTGAAAGGCCGAGTGTTAAAAACTTAATATAACGTTCATTGTAAATTTATTTTAATTTGTGTAAAACACTGGATACTACTTTATTAGGTAACATTAAGGAATGTGTCAAAAAGGGGTTGGATATCCAACTTCTAACAAGTGTGTGGACTCTCGAAACTCTTTTGTTAAATCACAACAAAGTGGTCCTGATTTTTTGGGACAACTTTCGTTATCATAGTTGCATTATTTTAAGACGTTAAACCTTATTTTACAATCAACAATCATATTTTTAAATAAATATGAATAAATAATTTGGTGATTTGAAATGTATGGTTGTCCACACCAAGACTACAAATGAGTCGAGTCCAGTCGAGCGTGGACCTTATTGAGCGCAGATCGAACTTTTTTTTCTGGTGCTCGAGCTCAAGCTCGACGAGTCATAAAATGGTTCTCAACTCGAGTCGTGTAAGAAATAAGATTTCTTGAGCTCGACATGGCTCGAGTTCGGGCTAGAACTTTTAACAATAAACTTTAAATATAAATGTATTATTTTTAATCAAAATAAACAATTTTGATGTTGGTCTTCTAATATTGATAAAGCCATCAGACATGATTGTGGAGATGGGAGATCGGGGATCCTGCTCGCCGAGCTTGTTGAGGAAAGGAAAGCAATGCGCCAGATTTCAAGTGCAAGGGGAGAGGTAAAGTGAAGGGAGTGAAATAGAAAGTGATGGGAATCAGTATTTATAAGGGGGGTTACTTGGGGAGGAATTTGAAACGACGATCGCTTTGGGGGTCGTTCTATCGAGGTTGGGTCAACGATGCAAAATCAAGCATACTGAGGAAGAGAGGGAATTTTGGGACAACTCATCATGGTCAACATTTTTATAAAAATAGAACAAATAATCAGGATCAATAACGTATGACGAGATCTGGGTATTTAAGAATGATGTGCTCGGGGTTTGTTGCCGACCTGATGGGCTCGTGGTATTTAGAGATGTGACAAGCCCATGGATTTGACGAGCTTGTGGTTTATTGCCGACTTGACGGGCCCGTGTTATTCTGAGATGTGACAGGCTCATGGATTTGACGAGCTCGTGGTTCATTGTAGGTATGACGGGCACCTGGTATTGGGCGATGCGACGAGCTCGTGGAATTGACGAGCTCATTGTTTTGACAGATGTGACGAGTGACGAGCTCGCGATTTTGACGAGCTCAAGGTTTTTGCGGATTTTGAGGAGCTCACGGTTTTTAGAGGATGTGACGAGCTTGAGGCTTTTAAGATGCGAAGATCTCTGGGTATTTAGGATGCGACGACCTCTTGGTATTTCAGGATGAGCTCATGTACTTGCGATAGGACGAGCTCCTAATACAAAGCAGCACGACGATGAAATAAACGCCGACATGGTATACAAACTATAGGATTAATTTCTTGGGCGACTCAAGGCCTATGGCAGTTCGTTCTCCAAATTTGGGGGGCTAGATGATGTGGTATAAAGGAGTGGTTTGTTATGTGCCAAGGTTGAGCCGGGTTTAACTTGGTATTTTCCTTACCTAGTTGGATGGTTCATGTGTTCAGAGAGCTCGACCATCTGAGGGGTAGCACAAGCTCGGCCACGAACTCTAATGTGCTAGCTCGGCTAGGTGCTCCAAGGCGCTAAAGGTACGAGGTTATGATGGGCCGAGCTGAGGAGAAAATTCTGTGAAATATCAAAGTGTTCCAGAAGTTTAGCAAGGCGGCTGAGCTGGTCAGTAGGTTGTCTGGTCATTCGGACAGGGTGGTTCCGTGCGATGAAAGGATTATGCTCCCTAATAATCAACAGAGTTGGGGCAATAAGGATTCTGAGACTTCGGATAAATTGCATACCGTTGTGAGACAGATGTGTGAGGGACTCTTGATATAACAAGAAGTCTATTCAGACTAAAACACAAGGGACCATATAAAAACGACAGGTTTTTCTTTAGTTTAACACGACAACACACTTACACAAGAAATTAAGATGTCGTCTTATTGTTATGCCAGTTTATTTCTAAAAACCCTCCACTGATTTGAGCGTCGGAGTGTCTGCGCCGATACCACCCCGACGTATTTTGCAGGTACCGACGATTAAGAAGACGTGACCAGGTTCATGGCAGTGGAAGAATGGTTCGAGACAATTGGACTCATCAACGTCCATAAGCTTGTCTCATCAAGTTTCGAACTTGATTCATTCGGTTTGAGCTCGTCGGTTAAAGGCTCAGTCCGTTAAGGTTCAAAAAATACAGATTTTTATGTAATTTTTTATAGCTCGACTTATTAAGACCCGAGTTTGCCTTATTAATATATAATAAATGAGTCGTGCTCGTCTATCGTCTCGTTTGATTGACGACTCCAGCTCAACTCAACATGGCAAAGACCTAAACCTAAACTCGAGTATTGATAGATTGAATTTTGACTCGGATCATTTATACCTCTAGCACATAGAAATGGATCGACCGAGTATCAAATATCAACTTATGAATTATGAAACATGACCAATTGTCCAAAAATCTTGAGAAGTTCTCCACTACAATTGAAGCCCATAACCATTTGACCCACATTACAATAGTAATTAATTATCGGCCCACAAAAACGCAAATACAGATCCATACCTTTCACATCTAAAGCCCATTTCAAGGTTCGTGAAAGTCTAAAATAACACAAGTCATGGAAAAAATTAGGGCTAAAGGACATTACTGACCCTCAAATAAAACAAAATTCCATTTAGGATACAGAGTATATGGAATTCCAAAATTACTCCAATCGGTAGTTACATGTTAATTTAACTCCAATAGGTAGTTACATATTAAATTCAAAATTCAAAAATTACATAAATAATTGTTTTTATTATCTCCCTTCTCTTTTCAGGATTTTTCTTTCTTCTTCTTTATCTTTTTCTTCAAACATGAAGGCCTAAAAAAAAAAAAAGGATTAATCAATTTGTTATATACATAACTAGCAGTTAAATTAACTAAAAAACAACACAAATATGTATTATAAAAACAACACGGATAAGTAACAACAATACAACATTAAAACAATTTTCAAGCAACATAAAAACAACTATAAGTAAACATTAAAATATCATCCAACATAATTTTTATATATTTATAGATAAAGCTGTCATAGTAAAAAAAAAAAAAAAAAACTTACCAATTTTTAATTTTTATGCTTCACTTTGGATTGAATGTATGCCTACATCGCTTCTTCCGCCAACAACCGAGGTCCGAACGGCCGCCGCTCACGAGCAGAACTCGTCGACCGCCCACAACCGAGTCAAGGTGAACGGCAAGACCCCGCCTCCGCCATTGGACGAGCAATCAATTTGAGGTCTGATCTACGAGTTGTTCCGTCGTAGATGGCGGCCGAGGGACCGGTCAGTGTGCTTGAGTGCTGTAACGAAGGATTACACACCATTTCAATCACCCACGCATTACGCACCATCTCAGTATTGTGGGGAGTTATGGTGTGCGATGTTCTTCGGAAGGAAAAAAAATAAAAATTTGGTGTTTACAAAGTGTGTTTGTGTGAATTTTGAAGAAGAAAAAGAAAAAGAGAGAAAAAAAATGAAGAATGGTAATTTGCTAGATGAAGAAAAAAGGAGAGAAGAAGACGCAGGTGGAGAGAGCAAAAAAATCTTTGCAACAAAATGGGTTAAGTTTTACAGAAAAATGAGACATAGAAAATGAAGAAGAAAAGAAAACCGTCACACAATTTGAATGGATATTCAATTTAAAAAATGAAAAAGGAGTAAAAATGAAATTGAGAATCACCCGGAGTAAACTAGTCATATATTATTTACAAGAGACATACGGTGTCTTTATTTCAAAAATTAGGTAATGGATGTGATTTGTGGCGAATCTCAATTAACGAAAGCCATGTCGAAAAGCGGAGCCCAAGTCACATAAAAGCCCGCGCAGTTTCCCGCTCACTACACACGTTACACCTCGTAAGCCGAATGAACGGAGAACAAACAAATGGTTTCTTAATCTCGAAGCTCAGCAATGGCGATTACCGTTCGACTGCTTGTTTCAGAGGCTTCCATCAACGGCGAGGCGTGCATTCATGGCGAGGCTTCCCCCGACGGCGCGGCATGGTAAATGGTTCGTATACGGTGATGTTTGTTGTGGTATCATCCCAAGATCATAAACATAATTTGAGAGAAAAACAAGTTTCTATTACTCACAAGAATAAAAACAAGAGATTTACAAACTCTAAACAAAAAACTCTCAAACACTCCACAACTCTTTCTTGGTTGTGTTTCAACACTCTCTAGGTTGATTGATCACACTCTTGGATGATTCAAATGAATGAAACCACAAGCCTATTT